CCCCCCCCCCCCCCCCCAGAGTAAAAAAGTGCCTTTAGAAGTGATGAGCAGTCATTCCGGTGGATAGAGGGCAAGCACTTGGTTCCCAAGATGATACATAATGTCATCGCCTGTAAACAAACGACGCCATTGGATCTGCTCCACGTATGAAGCAAGGAGGAACCGATGAGTGTCGTAACGTCACTTATGGGAGTGCATGAATTTCTGCCATGTCGACTCGATCGTGTTGGTACATGCTCCGCTGCCAGGATCGGCGAAATTGATGGAATGATTCACAGTTAAGTGTGTGTATCCTTCAGGAAGGTTACGGACACCGCTGTAGGCGGACCACAAATCGGACATGATAATCGTACCTGGGAGAACATGTTTTAAAATAATAGGGAGAATGGTGGCAGCGCAGCGGTTTTCAACTGGCATGAGAAAGCATTTCCACTACCTCTCTCAACACCACCGAAAATCCATTGCTATCGTACTAGATTCCCTCTTTCATACTTCCGCCTTGTCAGAACCGTCTCGTCGATTTCAACGATCTTCCCAGGGCCGCCAATTTGCATGGGATTCTGAGTGAAACATTCCACGCAAATATCCCTGAAGAAGTTGTTCCAGTCGACAACAGTACGATTACTGGGAGTGGAACCGTCTTGACGCCGCATGTCAAACTGGATTTCAGCTATCGTGTGCGTATTTCTGCACCAATGATACGATAGTTGAAATACTTCGTTTGGCGTCAAATTCACGTGTTCGGAGAACGACCCAGCAAGAAGACTTTTCTTCTTTCGACACCCACTACGACGACAAGCCCAGCGCTTTCCTCCGACTTCCCGCTACTCTCAATACTCATCCTTTAACCGCAGACGCACGTCCTAGTCGAGGATATTAGGCCCAATACTTGGAGCCATATTAAAAAATCATCCACCGGAAGCAATATTTTCTGAACCATTTTGACGACATTCATACCACGTAGCTCATCCATCTTCACAGAGTCAGCAACACACAGTAACTTTCACGAACAGTAATGAGTAAGGTGCTTATAAGTACCTGAAAAGTGCCTTCTGGCACCTTTCAGTACCTGAGTTAATACCTGATCATTAACATCACTCTCGTGCTTAGGCCACGCCTACTTTGTGTGATTGCATCACAAAAGTCGAAGAAGATGGCCACGCCCACTGTGTCAGATGAGGTCATTGCTATTCATATGTTTACTGCTCGATTAGGTTCGATTTTTAGAAAATAATCATCTGAAACGACTTTCCACACAGTTCACAACCAAAAATGTTACAGAAAAATGCATTTTGCTCTTAAGCAAAACAACAAAGAAATACTCAATGAAATAACGAATGCATTGCATATTTGTGTAAAATAAATAAATGCATACTTTGTCATTATTCAAAACACAAAAATTTGCGCTATTCAATATCTGAATCTGTTTCATATATATATTCATTTCAAAACGTTAAACAACACCACCATAACAAATATAATATTATTATTCTTGCTTTACACGAGTCATTCATACCGTCCCTATCTAAAAACCAACCACTATGATACATACATAAATTCGAACAATAAACGCTCCGTTTTCGCGGTCTATGTTCGATTTCGAACAACTATTGTACTCAGCAGTACTTTGCGTTATGATTTTTATTATTCGAAACCGCATTTATACACCACCTGAACTCATTTAATTGTCAAAAATTACGGTAATGAGTAGACATATTGAACAGAAATTATAGATCAGAATATAACAATGCCTGTGTCAAGAATTAATGGTTACTATTATTACTACTACCACTACAATGGGCACTTGTTTACTTTGGGGGACACGCACGCTCGCGTATAACAACTGACGGAAAACCTCACGAAGTTACCCCCACCTTTCGGAATGAGACCTATATCATTTTGTAGGGCTCATGTAGCTGATCACGGATATACAAGAAATTTTTGCAGTGGACAAGGGGGACGCGAGCTATGGCGCGAAATAGGTTTTCAGTGTATTGAAGTGGGTTTCTAAATTTCATCCCAACATCGGCTGCTTGGCCTGGCGAGTAGTGCGCCTGGCTAAAGTGCGAGCGCCCGGTGGTTTGGTTCCGCATGCTCGCGAAAATATTTTCTCCTACATCTATAGCATATTCAAGCTGCCTTAATGTTATGCTGCCCTCCCCACAAATTCTTTCCTTGTTTGTGGGGATAATTTTATTTTTTTGGTTTTTTTGTTTTTTTAATTTTTTGATCTTTTTTTTTCCTTTTTTATATGTGTTCGTAATGGGTATGTCTATTTACAACAAAATGATGGAAACACAAATGTAGATTACAATAAGAACATTTAACAAATGACAAAACATCACAATTAATTATATCACATTCTTGAACTACGTTGTGTGGAAAACAGGCTTGAACCGGAGTTTCAAATTGTTGTGAATGTTGTTCAATATATCCGCAAGCATACCAAGAATATTTGTTGAATTCTCGAAACTTCGGATTGCAAAATTGGTTGAACACCACTTCGAGAATGCATAGAACATTTTCACGTCGGTAGATCAAGAAATCGATGTCGTGAATAATTACATAAGAATGGATCTTCCTGATGAATGTTTTAAATATGCGGAAGAAAAATCGGTCCAGTGGTTGAATTTGTGATGTCGCACCGGCGGATATGTTTTGAATTTCGAGTGATGGCATTAATTCTTTCATTTCTTCATGTTTCTTGAACAGTGCCCAAGAATCCAAAATAAGAAGCGTGCATGCTTCCAGTTGCACCATCGCAAAACAATTCCTGAACCATGACAGCATGTGGGATTTTGTCATGATATGAGAATATACGCACTCGATAACAAGGTCAGGTGAATGCCAGTCGAATCTCTGTGGGAATTCACCACTTGGTTCAGCTAACACAACGTATAGTTTAGGTAATAAAATACCATCTGCCCTTATGATTGGCATGATGGTGAATGAATGCGTTAATGATTGGACCTGTTGAGCAAGGCATTCCACATTCCGTTGCCGCGAGGTGCAAGTGTCCGCGCCGTGTACAATTCTTTCGTTACGGCAGACTGATCCGCATTGAAGATGCAATCCGGATGGATCAAGATTTTTCGACTTGATGAGCTCGACAAAACTGCGGGAGGCCTCTTCAATTTGTGGACGACTGCGCAATGTTCGTCCACTCACAAATTTTGTAATTCGCCTTGATGTAAAATGGTTAACGTGTTTGAACTTGTGAATCCAACCCGCAGATGCCTCGAAGTGAGGTATTCTATATTCCTTATTTAACGAATGAGCGAGCGCTTGCAAATCAGTGTCATGAAGTATGACACCTTTTCCTATTTTATCGTTGATCACTTCCTTGAGCTTCACTGACAGTGCTCTAATCTGATTCCGACGATCTTGGATACATGTTTCCTTTCTTTTCGCGCCATAGCTCGCGTCTCCCTTGTCCACTGCAAAAATTTTTTGCATATCCGTGATCAGCTACATGAGCCCTACAAAATGATATAGGTCTCATTCCGAAAGGCGGGGGTAACTTCGTGAGGTTTCCTAGTGAGGCCACACCCATTGCGCATGTCCTCAGCCTCAACCTAAGCGTGGTCTTGGCCTGAGCCTAAGCCGAAGCCCGCTTGCTAACCCCCGTTGTAACATCGAGCGTTCGTAAAGGCTGAGGCTACGCTTAGATGAGGCCGATATTACGCTTACACTGAGACTGAGGTCATGCATAGAAGGCGTGGCCTCGGTTGTAGTAGGCGAGCGTGCTCGCGTGCGACCCTCTCCCCCAAAGTAAACAAGTGCCATGCTATTATTATTATTGCTGTAATTATTGCTGTTACTATTGTAACTATCATTATTATCAATAGTATCATTACTACTTTTACTGTGATTGCTTGATTTGCGCTGGATTAAATTTTGAGTTGAATTAAAATGAGATGCCGTTAAAGGTATTTCGTTGTTAAGACAATTTGATGGCGCGAAATTTGTGTTCAAATTCAAGTGTGATGAACGAAGAAGTGGCGCTTAACTGAAATACAAAACTGATGTGAGACGTACGTCAAATTTAGCAGTTATTGAGCATGCTGTTCGTGCATCAAGTAATGACCGGCCTGTTGTGAAATTGATTTGATATGTAACTATTTCGATAAGATTTTCGTCTGTTTCGACCATTGGAACATCTTTTGCATCTTTGACGATCTCTGAAAATTGCACCGAAAGTCTGTAGTTGCTATGCTGATGGGATGAGTGATCCCAGCCAAAAGCGTTAGGGCTTGAGTTCAACTTCGGCCGAGACTTCATTGTTTGCAGGTGATTACTGGTGGGTTCATTGTCAAGCCTCCTCGTAGATTTCAAATCGGACTTAAGGAAACTGGTCAGTGAATAAACAACTTTTAGTGTAAAATGTTGTTGACGTATTCATTGAAACTGATGCAGACAATCATGGAAGTGTGAAATTGCTAGGCCAGGCCAACACTCAATCAAAAAACTTTTGAAGAATTCTCGAGGCCTATTGTCAGCTATGTCCGCTGGCTTCAGAAACTCGCTCATATTGTGTTCATATTTATGCCAACACACATTTCTGATTCACTGCTTTTTTGTTACCACTCGAGTTTTTCAATGGTCCTGGATGAAATGATTTGTAAAAACAATTTTCAGGGTTATTTTCCTAAATTGGTGCTAATTTCAGTTAAAATAGTGTTGCTCGCTGCCCTTTAACTCTTTACAAGAATGAAAGTGAAAAGATTTGGAAGGACTCCGTCCAACGAGAGATTCATGAGATTCGGCAGCTCAATTAGTAAACACCTGTTAGTTGTTTAAATTTATTTTGTTCTTTTTTTCCTAGTGAAACTTCAGTGTACTATCAGTAATGGATAATTAACAGCGGACAAAGTCGCAGATGGGCATGGCACGATACTAGTATCAAAGCCAGAAGAACGAGCACACGTAGCATATCGAGGGGTGGTGAATCATCAACCAAAACGACGAGTGCAAAAGCAGAAGTAAGCTGTGGTTTGGAGAATACAGTAAATTGTAGTCAGTACTGCACCAGCCAGCAAATCGATCAATCAGTGGGTATTTCTAACTTAGGTGCAAATAAGAATATGGTCATTAATGGCGACAACGATCGACGGGTACTTCGTGAATTGGTTGGTGCTTGAGATAACTGTTCATTCGATAAATAATGTTTTTTCATCTCATTTTAATACTGATTTTTCCGTTTATTACAATTCATTCATAAATAGACAGTGAAAAAGTAGTTGGTCAGGTACTGTTGCAGCATGTGGTACTAGTTTCAAATTATAGTTACTGTTTTGGTTTTTTGAAAAGTGAAATTGTGTTAAGGTTCGTCGTAGTAGTTTATGAAAATAACAGTGATATTCAGTTGAATGATGATGATGGTGAAGTAGTTGAAAATATGGCAATGTTGGAGTGTTCTGAAAGTGCTATTAATCCAGCAGCGTCCCATCCGAGTGCATCTTTGCCGCATTTGGAATCATCCGAAGTTCTTTCACGGAGGTGATTCAAAATAAAACATTCATCTGATGATTTAACTAATTAGAATTTTTTTTTCTCCATAAACCTTAACATTTTCTTCAATTTTTCTTTCATTTGAATTAAATTCCAATGTTAGTCTTATTTTTCTCATTGTTTCAGTCCCATTCGATGCTTTGAATCTCATATCCAAATTCCACCATCCAGTTTAACAAAGTTGCGTGAAAGTAAGTCTTATCAAAGCATTCCAGTAATGATATAATCGAATCATGCCTTGGAGTAGGAGTAATGAAGTTCATTAGGAACAGGGTTCGTGAGTGATTTGAAAAGTGAATGTATGAATGAGTGAGTTTGATAGCTGAATTCATTGTGCGTATATTGATGATTATACGAACATGTTTCTTCATACATTTTCCTATTGCACGTCCCATTCTTGTTTATCTCTTCTAGGTAATATCAGATCACCATATTTTCTTTCCGTCATATCATCTGATGGTGGCACAGTTCTTTCTACAACATCGCGCAAAATGCCTGCCCAGTTACTAAGGAATACCAGCGGAGATCCCGAACAGGTTTTATTCATTAATACTGTTATCACTGTTAACATTAAGGCTGTTATTATTGTCATTGATGTAACAGTAATTATTATTATTAATGCAAATTTAGATGTGGAAATTAATGTGTGAAAAAAGTCAGAAATATATCAGAAATAGTCGCATGATGGACCTGCATCCTCAGTTACTTTTATCAATGCGAACCGTTTTGTTTGATTGGATGATGGACGTATGTTTCATTTTTGTTGATTATTTGATTTATTATAGTAAGTGAATATATGTTTACGCATAAAAATTCGTTATTAATTCAAACAGTCGTCAAGAATAATTGATTGAAGGTTTGTGCAGCGGAAAAATTACACCGTGAAACATTTTATTTGGCAATGGAATATATGGATCGCTTCTTGTCTTCCTTTGAGGAGCTACCACCGTCGGAGTTACAGATGTTTGGCACCGTAGCGATTCATATAGCATGCAAATTTGAGGTTTGTTTGTTGAAATCCAACCACTCGTTTATTTTTACAGTTATATTACGCATAATATTATTAATCAGATTAATTTTATCCATTCATTTTCTCACAAGTCATTCGTTCATTAGTTGACTCAACAGTTTAATGAGATTCGACTACATTGAGCGATAATGTTTTAGGAGGTTTATCCACCTAAACTTAAAACACTCGTGGCATATACTGATGGAGCATGTAGTGTATCCGAGGCCCTTTCGGCTGAACGAGTTATGCTGAAGGTAGGTGCTTAAGAGCGAACGAGAATTTTATTCTAGGGATATTTGTTGATTGTTTTCATGCGGTTTTGAGAATGATTGCTTTGATTTGTTCTCGCTATTGAGTCGTTCAGATACTTTTATCGGTCGTCATATTTAACTTGTCCAGATGATGATGTTTATATAAATACGCACAAAATATTTGTTGTAACATTTCAAATAAAATTTGATGCATAACTTTTTGTAGCATTTGCGCTGGATGTTGAATCCACTGACAGCAATTCATTGGTTAGGCGTTTATTTGCTGTTGTTGGAAGAAATTATATGTGAATGTAAAGGGAAGTTAGATGAAAGTGCTCGGAATAAACATCAGCAAGCAGACGGTAATGCTAAAAAAAGTGAACCAACTTGTGAATTAAAGCAGTCATGCAATAATTACAACTTTTTGCGTGATACATCCTTTCAATTCTCAAAATTCACGCGTACCGCTTTCATCACTATGGCACAGGTCAGTAATTGCAGTCGGTTATTGTTTTTTTTCACATACATGCCTCTCGTTGAATAATTACGTGCAGTATGATATATTGTTTCAGCAGTAAATTGTGCAACATCGACCTGCTTCCTCTGATCTTTTGTATGCATATTTCCAGTGCATTTTGAAAATAGTTTCAGGTTCTCGATTCGTGCATGTTGGATCCATGTAGTATCAAATATGATTATGCTGTGCTAGCCGCAGCCGTAATCAGTTGTTATTTTGAACCGGTTGCGTTTATCGAACAGATCACAGGTATGATGAGATAGACGTTTCAATCGTTCATTTATCCTTGGATGGCAGTCAGAATAAAGTAAATAAAAATAATGAATCAATTTTCGTAAATATAGCGGTCACTGAATCATCAGTTTATATGTTTTGTTGATAGTGGATGCCGCCAATCGATTTCTCAGAAATTCTGGATTCATCATCGTTGGAATGATTGTTATCAGTGTGAATCAATTATATGATTGAATCTATATGGTTTCTGTCATAGGCTTTCAAATGGAGCAACTGTATAGCGTTTGTGAATTTGTTGAGCCATATGTATACTTATGGGAGAGGCGTCGTTCACCTGGTTATTTAATGCCATCATATGAGGGTATCGATCCAAGTGATAGTCATAATATTCAAACGCATTTTGAGTATGATGGATATATGGTGAGTATAAATCAATCTGTTCATTCAATATGAATTTTCATTTTTATCTCCTCAGTAATTAAAAATCAATACAAAGAATCTCAAGAAATATGTATATAAATAGATTTTTGTATACGGACGTATTCTTTCCTATAAAAGGACTAGAAATCTAGTTCCGTTTTTTGGTATTGAAATTGGTCGTACTGAAATTAGTTGTCTCTGTGTTAGAGATTGAGATAGAATTACTTTTCATCGGAGCGTTTTATATTATTGTCATGAAAATTATTTCTCGTGCGCATCAAATTTTGGTAGAATGTACGAAAGTATTGTTTCAATGTTAAAAGTGATTAGTGATTAGCAAAACTGATCTTTTCCGGTACCAACTTAATACACATTGAAGTGAAGAAACGTTCTGAAAATTTTGCAGAAGAATTTAACTCGAAATCTTTTTGTTCAAGAATTTTACAGTCTACATATTTGTTTCATTTTTTTCCAGAACGAAAACTTGTTGTTAAGAAGAAATAACATCGAAATACCAGAGAACAAGAACGAGAGTCGTTGATACACGTATTTCAGAACATACTTTAGCCATATCATGTAATTAAAGTGATTTCAATTATCTCAAGGAAAATTCAGTTTAATTTTTGTTGCCGATAATTTGCAGAAAGAAGTGAAAGAGATTAGAAAAAGTCTTGAGAGCAGCAGTGCATCAAATACAATAAGTAGTTGTTTGCGACATCAACGGGTGAATGTAGCATCGTCGCAAACATCTTCGCTTTTTGTCCCTTCGCCATCACAACAACCGCTCGTCGATGAGCAAAATGCAACTTTTAACAAACGGTCCTGACCCTTTATTTTTCAATAATCACCTCTTCCTTGATCAGATCGTCATCAACCTTGTCATAAAACATTCATTCTAACTACATTCATTTGTTCATCTTGTTTTGCTAAGAATATTTTGAATACGATGGGTTACTTATGCCAGCAATACTACTAGTAAGATCAGTTGCAAGAGCGAGGATAATAATATAAATCATAATAGTAATGAAATGAAAATGAAAAATCGACCGAATGATGCGTGGAATGAGTGAAAATAATTTGATGTTACAAGGTCATCATCAATGAAAAGTAACAGTACTAAGAAAGATAGGAAGCGTTCAGTTGAAAGGTTTGATGATATCGGATCGATTTGTGGACGGTTGTGATTGATGATGAAAATAATAATAATAATAATAATAAGTTGAATCAGTGTTCAGCAACTTGATTGCCCTATTCACTTTGTGCTTCATGATCAACGTATGATTCTGAATTGTTCATCACTATGGCTTCAATATCTTTTTTCTTTGAACTTTTTGAATCTCTCCACTGCCAATACTGATGTACTCACCACATATAAAAAAACTCATCAAGATAACCTAGCGAATACCGAAATAAAGTATTAGCAGTTGAAAGAAGTACTAACCACAAAACCGTTACGATAAACAGTTCAAAATCAAAAGTAAATGTGAAACATACATATTTTAAATTGTACAGATGGAATCTGTCTTTGTATGAGGACAGCCAGTTGGTGTTTTTGAATCCCGTGAAACTGTTTTTGAAGTTAGTTTTCGTGATCGTTTTGTTGAAATATACTTTCTTGTTGTTGTTTCATTTGAATTTTTTGTGTTATTTCTTGATCAAAAAAATCAAATCATACAACAATTATCGCAGTTGTATGATTTGATTTTTTTTAGTTTCTATGTATGTTTGTTTATTTGAGCTGAAACGCTTTACTGATATGCCTTTCACTGGGTGTTTCGTGATTTTGTTATGTTTTATTTAAGCATAGTTGATCGATTATATTCGTTGTTTATTGCACCGGAGTAATGCATGGAAGTAATATATTGTTGTAGGTTGATTAATCACACATATATTGTTGAACTTCATTTCTTGATGTATTATTGGAATTCATATGTTTTGGTGATTGTTTCATTTTAGTTTTTACAACTATTTATCAGTACTCGTTAACCTTTAATCAAGGAATCAAGTACTCGTTAATTTTTATCACTGAGAATAGTACAATGGGAAATTCGGTTTAGTCTTTCATATATTTAATAGCGAATGATTGTATGATTATTTGAGGTGATATTCGCTTAACTGATCAGATGTTACAGTTTGTTAATCGATTGAAGCGGTTCACTCGTCATTTCAATTGTATACTTTTAATACCGCTTCGAAAACTGAACTCAGTGCTGCCAAGTGTCATGATGTCATATATACCTGACTGTATTGTTGTGTGTCGGTTTTTATATGCAATAATCAGGTAAATTAGTCATGTTGTTTTGTTCAATTCACATTCGATCATTTGACGGGCATTCCATGTGGTACAGGTCGTGTGTGTTTCTCTTTTTTTGCGAATCAGAATTGTTCTTTCGGTTGTTTTTATTGTCGTCATTCCATGCTCGATTTTCATTTTGTTGTGTCTCTATAACATTGAATCTTAGTGCTTTCTTGTTTACATTTTATGTTTTATACATATGAGTATCATTGTCGATTGTTAAATTGTTCGACGTTTTGAGCATGTTACATTCGAGCGCAAACATTACAAAAAGCAATATAACGTGCATGAATGAGAAAATAAAAATGAAATTAATAAAGAGAGAAGGGGAAACTGAGTGATGATTTCATGATGATCCGGGTGAAGTGCGGTTGTATGTTTGAATCTTATTCATTTTTTAGAGGTCATGGATAAGTTTGAGCACCATTTGAATCCAAATTTGTTCACTATTGAAAATGACGAAGAAGCAAAGACTGTTTACTGATGAATAGAATTCAACCAATTTGTGTTTTAAGAGTCTCTTCATTAAAGATTCTTGTTTTTTTTTTCATTTTTAGTTTTTGCATGAAACAGACATACATGGGAGAATTTTTTCATTCTGGCGTTTTTGAAAATGAAATGTCTAATTAAGTCAGGAGAAAGACAGAAATTAAAACTCAATTAAAAATATGCCCAATTAAATGCTGCTTCATGCAAATGAAGTGTTTATGAGAAATGCCAAGATTTTTGACTTGACAGCTGGTCAAATCATTTGGTACTGTCGCTCATTGTTCTACTGCTTTTGTTCTCCAGTTGAATGCAATGCACTGACGACGTAGAGAATAATTTATTTACAAAATAACAACAACGCATCGCCTAAAATAAACAATCTTCATTGTCACATTCTTCAGCTGGATTTTTATTGACAGTGCTTTCGTCATTGCATTTGACACCATTTTACGATTATTACTTTGATCTCTGAGATGATCGTGTTGTCGTAATAATTCAATATGATCATTTACATTGTTGGTGCAATTATGCACAATGTCAATCTAAGGTCGAATGATCGGAGAAGTGTTTTTTAGCATTGAAGAATTGCTTGCAATTGAATGTTTTCTTAACTATCCAGCTTATTGGGTGTCATGGTATTAGTGCGAGATTTTGTTTAGAAGCCATTAAAGACATTCACATAATCTTGTATTTGTTTAATTGTTGAGCTATAGTGCAACATTATGGATTAGTTTTTTTTTTCAATTGCACGTCAGTCATGAAGTTTTCGAATATAAATTTTTGTAAACGGAAACGGCTCTGTTGATGTTCATGGATCTGAATTCAAGGATATCCGCGACAAAACCATCATTATTGAAATAGCAATTGAAACCAATAATAAGCCACCTATAGAGATTAACAGTCACACGGGCAATGGTGATGATGTGCAAAAATCATTTCGGATTGCTTGGAATGAAGATATGTGATTATATCAACCAGATCGATGAAATAAATTTGTTTGTAAGCTTTGCTCCTTAATGGTTGAGTATTTTGTAAACTGGTGATTATGTTTCTTACAATTAGGAATTCAATCGATAAATATTGGCGAGAAGTGGATAATGCAATAAATTTCTAGAATGATTGGTTTTGTTTTGCTTGATGATTGACTGAAGATTGGTTTGCTTGACATTAGAGGAGTGTAGTAAATACCTGCTCTAAAATGTACGAGGAATTGATATTCGTACGAATATCTACGGTGCTATCTGCATCAACAGAACGTTTCTTAAGAAGTCGTAAGACATGCGCATTGCTAACTCAGTCGTTTGCAAACCGAACAGCGCCGAATCCTTGTGGTTCCGAGCATTTAGGTCGTTCGCATTCACTGTTCGGTTCCTTGATTGTGATTCTGATTTGACATTGGTAGAAGAGTTGTGATCGATCGGCATATTTGTAAATATGAGCTTCTTGACCAGCCATTAAATCAGTCGGATATTCCAAGTTGTTCAGAAGATGTTTATCAAGTGCACATCCTTCTTCATTCAGAAGTTCTACTTTGTCACCATTTCCATCATCCACGAAACACGAATGCACTACTGCACAGAAGGTATCGACCGTTTCCGTGTCACAAGTCCATTTGTGATATACCTGTTGTCCAATTAAACCGTATTGAATTGGTTGCCCAGTTGGGCCACCATCCAAGATCTGAATTGTTCACTTATTATAATTTTCATTACTTGAGAGATATTTTCAAATAGCACAATGAAAGATACTGAATATAAACGAATATTTCAGTGAATTAACCTCGTATCTGCAAATGGGCATCGGTACGATTTGTGTAGCAAATGCAGTGGTGATTTCAGAGACTTCGATTTGTGTGCTAACAGTCTTATCAGCCTCCATATAGAAGCATTGTATACGATAAGCTCTGTCGACCTTAGTAACGAAGAGCGGATGGAATGAGATGACAACCGTAGCAGTAACAAATATACCACGAGGGTTCAGGGATCGAGTTCGAGCCACATTACAGCTATCGAAGGGCAGCGATATACCGGCAATATTACGTCCTGTTTCATCATTGCGACATCCCTCTTGGTCATACAATCCCTTCACATAAACATGTCCGTCGAACGGATTCCTTGTGTTGAAGTTGACTGTTATTGACGTCGGTCCACACTCTATTTCTGGCTCACCTTCTGCACCGTTGTCCACCGGGATGGCCGATACCGTCTAGTTATTAGGTAGACGAATGAATATTGGAACATATTTTCGATCGATTCAAAATTAAACCAATACTATTGTAAGCAGTGTCGATCGGGGATTGTGTCATATCGACGTCTGAGTTTGGTGGGGAAAGGATGAGATGTCACGTACGTTTTAGTTTAGATTGATCAGAAGACTGACCTGGCTGAATATGCATTTATGCACTGTGTCATTTCGAGATAGTCATGATTTCAAGGATTTCTCTGATTATTCTCTCACTTGACAATACCGGATATCTTACGCATTGAAAATATACTGCACTTCTGTTCATTTTTCGTCTGTTTTTTTGTTGTTGATTGATGTTTAGAAGAGGAATACAAATTCATTGATATGAACATTTTTAATATGATCATTATTACAATCTCTTTGTTTCATTTCTTGGATGAAAACCTTAATTTTAAAAGGAAAAAAATTGCATTCATTCAATTTATTCCTTGACATTATTCCTTTTGCTCTTCTCTTCATTGCAGATTTCCAACGAAAACATCGCCTTTCACTGATTAATGATCAAGTATATCTGTCAGAAACTATTTTTTTGATCAACTTTTTCAAGATTCATCATTTTCATCAGTTCATTAATTTTATCCTCACACGAAATCCAAGAACAAATTCATCAAAAACTTTTGCCTTTTATCAGCACCTATATCAAATCCGTTCCTTCTTCGGTTTCAGATTGAAAAATTCTCCCGCATTGCTCAACAAACATAAAATGTTGGGATAATCCGATAAACGATTGAGCTCGAAAACAAATATTTTTCAGATGACAATTGAAGTGAGTTCGCGAGTATTTCGTCAAGCCATTGTCACCTGAACAACCCTTTGAAAATTCAGGACTGTTGTGAAGTCTACTCAATACACGCCTATTTAGTTATCCATTCAGTTTTTAATTGAAACACGCTACAAAAATGAGCCTCTTCATTATCACTAAATAATAACTATTACTTTCCGGTGCGTCTTACATTACACACGGTCAATCGAATTCCTCAACCTAATAAATTTCCGTTCATCTTGTTCAATGATTGTACAGTTTATCAAATCAGTTCGTATTAGTGAAGATAAACGGGAGCTACGAAAATGAACAATACGGTATTATATTCACTGATTCGCAAGCCACAATAAAAATATTTTTGGTGTAGCATTCTAGGATGCAATAAACAACGGGGTTTTGCAGTGAAATGCCATATTTTGAGATGCATCAAGCTCAGAGCAAGAGTTTGTTCAAGACTGTCCAACAATGCTACAAATTCGCTGGACCATCCTATTGCGCAAGGCCTAAAATTTCATACAAGCATATATTTACGTTCTCCAGTGCAAGTTTCTCAACTCGATAAATTGTAAGAGATATCCAGTTCTTCATCACATCTTCTGATAGGAGAGTCTGACCGTTGCTCGTTGCTCTTAGGTCGTTTTTCGGCACAAATTGTTTGTGAAACAATGCAGCTTGAGCTATGACAGTAACAATGGGCATGAATCAATCAATTTCAATTTTTCAGTGAATATGCATGAGAATGTGAAGTATAAACATGAAGGCATAGAAAGCGCTGCATCAAACAGTTGGTATATCATAAAATTCTGATCACCTTTGAGCAATCCGGATGCGGCATATCACCAAGGCCGTATTATGGCTTTCCTTATTTAAGAATACGTTATAATCCCGAAACTAAGATAACCTACGATATGGAGATTGAATTCATACCGGGTTTTCATTATAAAAAGATATGCACGTATTCAATACTCCATTCAACATCATTTTTTTCGGCGCAAATCATATCATCACCAAATATTCATAAATTTAGAATCGCTTTATACGTTGCTGCCTTCAAAAACAATTTCGTCATCATAGGAACAAGAAAGTTTTTGCAACATTGTATTTCAAGGATTTGAAATGAGATGCAGATTAATTCTTGTTGCTTGCCATGAGCAAATGTGGGTATTACAATGCTAAATAAAATGTTGTATACCGTTCTCATAAAAGCAATGCGCATCTGTTCGGTTGCGTGAATGTTTCTTTTACGAAATAGCAAATTTAAAAATTCATGTTTATTCATGTTAAAAACATCAATATCACTCATTTCAGCAAAATGATGGTTTCAAATTATATCATCACCCACTTATATGGGCGTGAAATGAGTTTGAAATGAGAATTACAAAATAATGGATGAACGGATCACGAACGAACCATGAAATTGACGATGGTAATTTGAAGAGTAGAAAATATCGAAGTGATTGACTAAATGAATGATAGCTGATTAATTGATCAAATAAGAAGAACGCTTGAAAAGAGATGAAAACGAGGTTAATTATTGTTACAATTGGCAGAGGCTATGCAAATTTGATCGAAGAACACGTGATCAATATTCAATGCATAATTCGGCCAACAATGAACCAAAATATTATTCGAATATTAGTAAATATTTATAATAACCGAAATATTTATTTGCTGCATTTATTATAGATATTGGAGTCCATTTAGCGTCTACTCCTAGTTGGCCTACCGCAGCCAATGTAGATTCTGTTACAGTTCACATTCTGCGCCTTATTTTTGACGGATGTAGTTGATGAGAACGACGAAGGCTGCAATTAGAACAACACCGATACCCATCATCATGGATAATCCCATTGGAGACATGCAAATGCCATCTTGAAGTGTAGGTGAAAGAACTATTGGATGACCGAATTGCTGACGAGCGCGATGACGAAGATCGGCGGGTAATGCTTGGTTCTGAAATATTTTATGATTTTGATTGGTAACGAATAAAATTGGTAACACTGAGAAATAAAATGATATCAAGTGTGAATGAAATATAACCTGATCCGAGATATCCAAAGCGCTGATATCAGTGCGGACATCCAATGTGTTATCGTAATCTGCAGCACGTTTCTTGAGTAAAC